CCAAGGTCAGTGAAGAAGGAGGGGGAGGAGGTGCGCCGGAGGAGGGGATGCCTCTGCAGCCCGTGGTGAGATGTCAGGCTGTCCCCCTGCAGCCCATGGAGGTGAGTGGTGGAGGAGATGCCCACCTGCAGCCCATGGAGGATCCCACGCCAGAGCAGGTGGATGCCCCCGAAGATGGCTGTAACTCCATGGGAAAGCCCATGCTGGAGCAGTCTGTGTCTGAAGGACTGCAGCCTGTGGAAAGGAGCCATGCCAGAGGAGTTCGTGGAGGACTGTCTCCCACAGGAGGGACCCCAGGCTGGGGATGGAGTGAGGAGTCCTCCCCTTGAGGAGGAAGGAGTGGCAGAGACAACGTGTGATGAACTGACCCCAACCCTCATTGCCGGTCCCACTGTGCCGCTGGGGGGAAGAGGTAGAGAAAACTGGGAGTGGAGTTGAGCCCAGGAAGGAGGGAGGGGCGGGGGGAAGGTGTTCTAAGGTTTGATTTTACTTCTCCGTATCCTTGTTATGATTTGATTCGTAGTAAATTAAATTGATTTTGTTTCTTCCCCAAGTTGAACCTGTCTTTTGCCTGTGACCATAAGTGGTGAGTGATCCCTCCCTGTCCTTGTCTTGACCTAGAAGCTTTTCTTTATATTTTTCTCCTCATCATCCCACCGGGGCTGGGGGGGGAGGAGTGAATGAGCGGCATTGTGGTGCTCTGTAACCAGTTGGGCTTAAACCATGACAATGGCCTAAGCAGTCTTTGTCATTGGAAGTCTTTAAATACATAAAATATATATATATATCAGTGAAGAGTATCATTAAGTAGAGTTTCTCCGGTGCAAAGATGTGCAAGATGACCTCTCACAGTCCCTTCCCGAGCTGCAATACTCTGAAAACACAGAAATCATAGTGATATAGGCAGCAGTACAGAATATCAACTCAAACCATAGAATAAGATAATGTTTTTCTTGAACTTCCATCTGTAACACTGTCCTGGTTTCAGCTGGGATAGAGTTAACTGTCTTCCTAGTAGCTGGTACAGTGCTATGTTTTGAGTTCAGTATGCAAGAATGTTGATTACACTGATGTTTTCAGTTGTTGCTAAGTAGTGTTTAGACTAAAGTCAAGGATTTTTCAGCTTCTCATGCCCAGCCAGCGAGAAAGCTGGAGGGGCACAAGAAGTTGGCACAGGACACAGCCAGGGCACCTGACCCAAAGTGGCCAACAGGGTATTCCATACCATGGGATGTCCCATCTGGTATAGGAACTGGGAAGTGGGGGCGGGGAATCGCCACTCGGGGACTAGCTGGGTGTCAGTCGGCGGGTGGTGAGCAATTGCACTGCGCATCATTTGTATGTTCCAATCCTTTCATTATTACTGTTGTCATTTTATTAGTGTTATCATTATCATTATTAGTATCTTCTTTTCTGTTCTATTGAACCGTTCTTATCTCAACCCATGGGTTTTGCTTCTTTTCCCGATTTTCTCCCCCATCCCACTGGGTGGGGGGGAGTCAGTGAGCGGCTGCGTGGTGTTTAGTTGCTGGCTGGGGTTAAACCACAACAAACACACAGTGAACAATACTGCGCTGTCAGAAGCTAATTCATATAGGTTAAAGCAATGCTCCGTTGGCACAAAAAATAGAAAGTTAGCACTTGTGGTAAAACTGAAGTTATGGGATATTTGAGAGTATGACTGATAAACAGATGACAGATAAAGCTAGGATGCTTGTAGTCTATCAAAAAAACTAACAAAGATTGAGATAAAATAGGTGGTATTTTACAGTAATATCATACAGGCTGGACATATCCAGAGAAAGAATTTAAACATTCTATAAACTTGAAATATAGCGATTGGTACATACACCCAAAGTAACTAACCAATCAAAAATACCCCACAAAAGGATGACCAATAATAGGAAGATTGTGTTAAAATGTATTAAAAAAACAGCAACTAAAATAGTAAAGTAACCTATAGCATGGATTTTTAGAATTGGTGCTGATAAGCAGCTAAATCCCACTGTAGACTATTTTGTAATTAGCATATGGCATATTTCTTCTCCCTTATTTATTATACTGACAGAGTAAAGGAGCCTGAAGATGGTTTCATACTGCAGCTAAACTGATATAATACCTAGCTCACAAGGAAGAGCAAGTCCACTCTCTACTCTTCCTTCCTTTGCCTGTGCATTCCCACCTGCCCCTTTCACCAGCACTGGTGTGTATAAACCTCCATGGTGAAACGTTTTAGAAAGCCAAATGAGTAGAAACCCATTCACTTACTTTGTGAGCAGTTAATATGTGTGGTTAGCTTCCTGAACTGGTTTGACAATGGACAAGGCTAGGCCTATAAGTGAACACTGGTGGTACATAGGGGAAAAGGACGGCAACTTTCACGGGCAGCTAGCTTAGCTTCATAAAATTTAAATCTTAGTTAGCTTAGTTCCATCGTGACGCTGCAACCTGAGCAACGAGCACTTTGACTAACAGTGACCAACACAGCTAAATCAGCATTCTTGCAGCAATTACTTTAACAGGTATTCAGTTCCTTGAAAAAAACAAAGATAACCTTTGACTTAGATATCTCCTTGCCTGGAAGTCAAATGTAAAAGATTACTGGCATAGCTGAAGAACCTAATAACTGAACAGCGATCTGACCTGGTAGATGAAGGGAGAGTAGTGGCTGTTGTCTACCTAGACTTCTGTAAGGCTTCCAGCACTGTCTCCCATAAAAGCCTCATAGAGAAGTGGTTGATGTATGGGCTGGATGAGCAGACAGTGAGGTCGACTGAAAACTGGCTAAATGGCCAGCCAAGAGCATGGTGATCAGTGGCATGAAGCCTAGTTGGAGGCCAGTTAGCAGTGTACCCTAGGCATCAATACTGGGTCCAATCCTGTTCAACATCTTCATTAATGATCTGGATGATGGCGCAGATTGCACCCTCAGCAAGCTTGCAGATGACACAAAACTGGGAGAAGTTGCTGATACACCAGAGGGTTGTGCTGCCATCCAGAGGGACCTGGACAGGCTGGAGAAATGGGCTGACAGGAACCTCATGAAGTTCAACAAGAAGAAGTGCAAAGTCCTCCATCTGGGGAGGAACAACCCCCCAGTTTATGCTGGAGAAAGCAGCTTTGCAGAAAAGGCCCTGGGAGTCCTGGCTGACACCAAGCTGACTGGGAGCCAGCAATGTGGCTTTGCCACAAAGAAGGCTAATGGTATCCTGGGCTGCATTAGGCAAAGTATTTCTTTGCCTCTACTCAGCACTGGTGTGGCCACACCTGGAGTGCTGGGTCCAGTGCTGTGCTCCCCAGGACAAGAGAGACATGGACATACTGGAAAGAGTCCAACGAAGAGCCAGGAAGATGATGAAGGGACACGAGCATCTCTCCTGTGAGGAAAGGCTGAGAGGGCTGGGACTCTTTAGCCTAAAGAAGAGAAGGCTCAGGGGTGATCTCATCAATGAGTATAAATACCTGAAGGAAGAGTGTAAAGAAGACGGAGCCAGGCTCTTTTCAGTGGTGCCCAGTGACAGGACCAGAGCCAACAGGCACAAACTGAAACACAGGAGGTTCCCTCTGAAAATCAGGAAACACTTTGTCCACTGTGAGGGTGACTGACCACTGGCACAGGTTGCCCAGAGAGGTTGTGGAGTCTCTCTCCTTGGAAACATTCAAAAGCCATCTGGACATGGCTCTGGGCGGCTGGCTGTGGGTGGCCCTGCTTGAGCAGGGGGTTGGACAGACTGACCTCTGGAGGTCCCTGACAGCCTCAACCATTCTGTGGTTCTTTGATCCCTTCATTACTCCATTTCTGTGCCTACAAACCACTGTTTGGCATCCTCTTGCCACAGCAAGGAACTCCTCTGCCACGTCCGTACACCGCTGAGTATGCCAACTGCCGTGTCGCCGTTTCCCTCCCCGCACATAGCCAGCATCACCCTCTCCCCGGGACCCACGGAACACCCAGCTGGCCCCCCACTCCACTTACCCACGAGGACCGCCTGCCCGTCCACCCGAGCACGGTGCTTGTAGAGCGTCAGGGCGAAGGTGGAGAGCTGCTGGGGGCAGCTGTGCCCGTGTTAAGGAGTCGACGGAGGAGCACGACCCCCCACTCTGCAGCGACCGCCGGCGCTGGGCCGGCACCCGCTCCCCAGGCCGGGC